TTTTGAAAAATATTTCAAAGAGAAAATATATATTGTTTGAATAATGTATGAAATCGATCCGAATCTATTAGATTATGTGCATGATATGATTTATGAACATTAGTTATGAATTTGATACTGCAGCAACTTGCCGTTTTCAAGTGAATTTCTTAGCTTTAATTATCATGAGTGGTGCCTTACATGATACTCAATTCAGTCACCCTTTATTCATGCATATATCCATATGTCTTCGTCACAATAATTACGAAGGACTTTGTTTGCATACCATGAATTCCTCTTATAGATTATATACATAAATAACAACTGGTACATAAACAAGACGAAATCAATTTTCGCACGTAAATTGGAAAACCCTAGTTAATCATACCATAATTGTTTCAGTTCCAAGGCAGGTTATTAAAAATAACATGGTTGATCCCCGTTTATAGTAAAGAGAATCATATAGGAATCAACTATAATTCATATTCTTTGAATTCAAAGTATGAAGGTATGATCTGATTTTATAAGATTGTTTTTTTAGATGATTTGAGACGAGTCGAGACGAATTTTGTGAGGAAGAGAGTTGAGGTATGAATCGACTGAATTCAGACAATTGCTATAATATTCCCACGTATCCTGATTAATCTAACCTTGTGCTCGTCCCTAATTTTATCTGGGTTTGTGTTTGGCAGCCAAGAAAAGGGCGAAAATCTAATCTTTGCTATTGGCAAATTCCCAGGCTTTTGCCTTTGTTGTGGCTTAAAAAATCAAAATGCCGGCTCTTTTGGCCAACACCAATTTATCCACGTTCTCTTTCTACACCAGTAGCATCCAATACTTTGTTCAGTCAAGCACGTTTCATGCTCAGCATATTTGAAAGCATCCAGTGATATTAATTATAAAAATAAAATAGACCCCCGTTCCACCAAACAGCACCACATTTCATTTTCAACTAGAAAATAGGCCATTCGCGGTGATTCGTTAACTGTGTGTATAATTAAGTTGTTAATTAAGTACAGTAAAGTAGGCGAAGCTTAGAAAATTATGTGTGCGTGTATATATATAAGTATTGGCCTTGGCTAATTAAGACAGAGGAATATGTCATCGCTTAGAAAAACCAGTACAAGTTACAGTGAAAATGAAGCTGAGCAGCTCAGGAGAGGACCTTGGACTCTAGAGGAGGATTCGCTTCTTATTCAGTACGTTGCTCGCCATGGCGAAGGCCGCTGGAACTTGCTCGCCAAACATGCAGGTAAATGAATCAGTTTCTTTAGTCTATAAATAGCGGACCGCGTAATAGCGGTAGCGGTGCCGTCCGCGACTGTTATTGTATGAACACGATACCTACAATCACCGTAATAGCACCCGCTATGTCCGCAATCGCGATAAACGCCATGCGACCGAAAACGCGACTGCAACAGCAATTTGAATCCTTCTAAGTAGAGTTTCGAGTTTATGAATAGAAAAAACAGCGCAGAGAAAGCTTGATTCTTGAAACAGGATCCGACCCGGTTGGACTATAAGACTTCATTTTTTTACCGTTTTGTTGGTTAGGCTTAAGGAGAACGGGCAAGAGTTGCAGGCTGAGATGGCTAAATTATCTGAAACCGGATGTTAAGCATGGAAACCTTACACCCCAAGAACAGTTTTTGATCTTTGAACTCCATTCTAAATGGGGCAACAGGTATCTTTATAATTTTCCTATGGTTTTATATTCAGACAGGAGTTCTCATTTGATGATAGTGGACAAGGCATAAACTTGTACATGTTGCGATTTCCAGGTGGTCGAAGATTGCTCAACATTTACCAGGGAGAACGGACAATGAGATCAAGAACTACTGGAGAACCCGCGTGCAGAAACATGCTCGACATCTCAAGATTGATGCGAACAGCACCGCGTTCCGGAACGTTATTCGATGCTATTGGATGCCGAATTTGCTTCAATTGATGGATGCTCAAGCACAAAACGAAACCTCTCAACGTCAAGTGTCGACGAGGCCTGAGCAGAATCCAGATTCGGATCGGATTGGTTGTGGAATTTCGTTTGTTTCTTCGTTAGAATCAATGGATGACATCTCGAAAGTATCCGGATTTTCAGAGTACCAAACAACTCCTATTAGCGTCTTTGGTAACAATTATGGATGCAACACGCTAGAGGCATCAAAGGATTGCTATAGTTGTGATAATACTAGTTTCTATGACGTGGAAACCATCAACCTGGCAGCCACGTCAGCACTAGCCGAGGGATTTCCCGACCCGGTGGGCGATTGTCACTTGGCGGATTACAATTGGGTTAGCGATGGCTTTGCAGATCATGGCCTATGGAACATGGGGGGACTATGGGAACTCAGGAATTTCCAATGAAGGGGAACCCCCTTTTTCTTTTGGTTAAATGACAGTTTTGGTCCCTCTATCATGTTTAGATTCGATATTTAGTCTCTATACTATAGTTTGACATTATTCAATCTTCTACTTTTAAGTCATTACAATTTACGATATAAAGATTAAATCCAAATCTAAATATGATACAGAGCCCAAAATCATTGTTTAACCATTGCATTCGAACATGTCCCAAGTTCGAGCACCATAAATATTAGGGAATGAGAGTTTAATATCAAATGAATGATAATTATCTTTGAACAAATCCTACATTATACTTATTATAGATTAATAAAAAAATCAATTTTTTTTATCCAATATCTATATTACATAGATTCCACTTAATTTATAAATCTGAAGATACTGAACGTTTAAATATGCTTAATAGTATATCTTTTTTTATATAATATATGGATAATAATATCAATTAAACTAATCTTAAATATAAACTAACATTTTTTTATGCATAATTGGTGTAAACTACAAAATTTTTATATTTTATAAATAAAAAGGGGTTACATCAAAATTGAAAGTCGAATAAGTTGAGTCTATCCTAGGAATCAAAATTTATTGTAAACGTCCCCTCTTGGCTGACCCACCAATGTTTGAAAACTTGAATATGATTCACCAAGTTTATGTGTTTAATGATAGGGAAATTTGAAAACTTTTTGTTATCAACCTTCGAGATCAGATCAGTGGTGGATCTATAAATTTATAAATGAACTAAAAAATTTAATATTATTTTTTAATATAATGGGTATATAAAATTTCTTATTTTTTCTTATTCCCTTATTATATTGAACTATATTTAATAATTAATCTAAAATAATGAGTATGTTTTTGACCCCTACAAGACCATATGCATCCGCCCCAGTCTCCAACTGAGGATAAGGAAGGTAGCTTCCTTATCTGTAATAAATATTTAAATTGCAATCAATTAAAAATTATCTGATTAAATTATTTATAAATCTTTTTCGCCTTAGATTTATCGTTTGAAGTACTTTATCGTACTTCATTTCTTCTTCATCCTTCGCTCACTTTATTTTACATCAAATCTTGATTTTCTTTGCATTTTGGTTAAATTTTTATTAAAAGGAATTTGATTTTGAATATTTAGTTTGCCCGAAGACATTCAATTATTAAATCTAAGTTTTATTTTCTCAATTAATTATTAAAATGAAAATTATTCAATTTCTTTATTTGAAAAGTCTAGATTAATTAAAATGGGCTTCTTCTTCGTATTTAATTTCATCAATTCATGAGTTAAGGTTCTTCTGAAAGATTTAAATCATGAGATGAAATGGTATGATGAGAGAGGGAGAAAAAAAAAAGAATGTTGATAAGGAGATCATCGATCATGAAGGATATAATAATTTTGAGTTTCAAATTTTAAACCATATTTTGTGTTTAGGACACCTATACTTTAGTAGAATTAAGTTATTCTTACTCTAATGCCATGTTCAGACAAAGTGGAATAACTCCAATTTAGGAAGAAACTTGGTTGTCTTGTTTTTCTTCATAATAGCTCCAATTCTTTCGCAATCAACTTTGAATTTAGTCGGTTAACTAATGTTGAAAATTATCACTAATTTTATACAATAAGCAAACTTGAATTCAAAGTGTGTTTCAGAAAAAGAGTAAGTATATTTGACCAGACTAAGCTGTTAATCTTTGTTCCTTTATATTTTTTTAGATCGTGAGTTTTAGACTCCCGAGAAGACCCCTATTCTTTCTCTTAAAGTCTCATTCCTCTCTTCTCTAAATAGAATTAGAATTAATATTAAATTTAGAACCTGTAAAAAAGGTGTTTCAGAAAAATAGTAATAGGAAATAAAATTATTATTTGTCATATTTAATTAAATGCTATAACGGTTGATTAAATAATCACTTTGACCCATTTTTAGAGTACTTTGACCTTAACGTTTTATTTTGAGACAAAAATGTTATCTCATAAATAAAAACCGTTAGTTAACAGATGATTAATACTTCAAAATATAACGCTAGAGGATAAATTGTTTTTTTTTAAATAATTTTAAAATTTTCACTCATGATATAATCTAACGAGTTGAATCGAATCACAAAAAATAATATAAAACCCTAAGTAGCAGAAGTGAACGTGGGAAGCACGCATGGTGGGATTTGGAAGCTAAGACAGTCTTTGTCGCGTAGATTGCGGAATTCCATGGAACTTATTATCAAATGGATGCGTGGGGAGGTAGGACTCTCTCTTTCGGTCTCTTTCTGTTTACATGTTTATTACTAAGTTCCATGCATCGCATGACCGAGACGCCTGATCTCAAATCTCGTGGCGGGCCAGCAAAACCTTTTCCAGCTCACTGTATCAACTCACCTCGAAATAGGATCCACTTCCAAACTACGTTTGTATCAAAGTTTGATGAATACAGGGAAGAACAAATTAAATTATTTAATTAAATTAATTGAATCAATAATCTTATACAATTAGCTATCAATATCATGTAAGGGGAAGATTTAATTAATGTGAAGCATAAACTTATCAAGTAAAGCCTTGATCTTATAAATGAATCAGTCCGTATAGACCCGAATATCCAAGGCAAAGCCCAATGATTTCCGAACGGAATCACTGCCGTCCACGTGTACTGAGGAATCACTGCCAACATTATAAAGCTCAAATTGGCCCAAATCCTAGCTCCTCTATAATCCGCTGCGGGGAGGAGCTTTTAACCCTTCGCTGTCCGTCGTCACGTCTTCTGAATATTTTGAGGTGAATCTTTTGGTTTTCTCATCATTTGTTTGTTTTCCTAGATAATGAAAGAAAAAGAAAAGAGAATGCTGAAACGTGTATATATATTTGCTTTCCTATGATACAGCTTGAAATATAAACCTTACTGGAAATTATTATCTTGTTATTTGATCTTGAAATTGATATAATTGCTGTACTCATCTTAAGTTGAGATCTTAGATTTTTAGTGAACTTATGAAGCCCTTTGATATTTGTATATGATAGTTAAATACTTGATCCAGTTTCTAAGTCATTTGATTTTTTAATTTCAACTTGTTATTTGCCACACAGTGCAGGTATCGAAGATGTATACATCAAGGAAGAAGATCCACAAGGATAAAGATGTTGAGCCAACGGAATTCGAGGAGTCGGTTGCTCAGGTTCTAAAATGATTTTATGTTTGGTGACATTGAAATGTGCTGTGCTGTGAACGATATAGGAATGTGTTCATGTTTGTTCGTTACAGGCTTTCTTTGATTTGGAGAACACCAACAATGATCTAAAAAGTGACCTCAAAGATCTCTACATCAATTCAGCCATGTACGAATGGTTCATTAGGTTCCATTAATTGTGAAGTTATTTGTTTTTGTCCGTCATATGAGTGATGTAATAATTTTCCCACATGCAGTCAGATTGATGTTTCTGGTAGCCGGAAAGCCGTTGTTATCCATGTTCCGTACAGATTGAGGAAACCTTTTCGCAAGGTTCAAGTTAATCTTGTGAGGGAGCTTGAAAAGAAGTTCAGCGGCAAGGTGCGGAAAGCGCTAACCTATTTCTTGCAGCTCTGCACAAATTAAAAAAACCCTGTTTTATTGTGTTATTCATGTATTCTTTTTGCATGATTCGGGTTTTATTTGTTTCACATGAATTTCTGTTTTGTATTTATAATGATTATTACAAGTTGGTTTGATTGGCATGCACATCTTTCCTGGTTTAATTTTAACTTGTTTTATGCTGACATGATAGGATGTGATTCTTGTTGCTACCCGAAGGATATTGAGGCCTCCAAAGAAAGGCTCTGCTGTTCAGAGGCCACGCAGCCGCACATTAACTGCTGTACATGAAGCAATGCTCGAAGATATAGTCTTACCAGCCGAGATTGTCGGCAAGCGTACTCGATACTGTATTGATGGATCAAAGATAATGAAGGTTCGGTGCTGCTCATATTAGTTCTAATGCTACAATCAGGATGCTAAATGTCAATGGAAATGTCCTAGCGATGAGTGGAATTTTGTGTTATCCAGAAATTAATTCTGGTTGAGTCCGTAAAATTTATGATTGTTGTCATCCTTCATAGATGTTTTGTTTTCTGAAGGCTAATATGCTCATTGGTTTTTTGCCACCGTTGTTGGGCTGGTCTATTTGGACCCAAAGGAACGAAACAACACAGAGTATAAGCTTGAGACCTTCTCCGCAGTTTACCGGAAGCTTGCCGGAAAAGATGTTGTGTTTGAGTTCTCTGTTTCAGAGGCATAGATGTATCTTCTTTCAAGTGTTTGGACACTTTTTTCTGTCCCTTTTGCTCCTGAAACTAAATTTTGTTGTTGAGCACCTTAAAATTTGAGATTTTGAGTTTCATGGGTTCACAATATTTGATCCATAAAAATGAAACCAAATGGTTTTTAGTACCATTTTACAGGTGACGAATGTAGGGTCTGTAGAGATGCGGTAAGCAATATGAATCGATTCCCTATTGCTCTATCGGGGGTCCCATTTCCACATTGTAGATCTACATTGGGCTTAACATAACATTTGTCTCCAAATTTGTCATTAACATCAAATTGATAGAACGTTTGAATAATGAAATCAGTTGTTTAATTAATTTAATTTTTAATTATAAAATCATCTTTGTTAAAATGTTAATAATATGTGACTAAGTTGATATTATCTAGATGATTGATAAAATTAATAGATTAATGGTCAAATAAAAATCATTTTGATAGATAAAATTAATAGATTAGTGGTCAAATTAAAGCCATTTTTGTAGTTAAGCTATCATTATGTAGTTTAGCCATCCTTTTATTACTACATGAACAAAATTGATTTATTTATGTAGCTAAACTATCAACGAAGGTAAAATCATATATCTAAATTCAATTCGATAGTTCATATCATAGAAGATCTATAAGATTATAAATAAGTGTTATCCTAATCAGTCGTGACGTCGTCTGAGAAAACATAAAATTAAAGGAACAACTAATTAGAGGTCAAATTAAACTATAAATTATTTTTTGAACAATGACATCTGGATCTTATTAATAATGGAATGAATCAAAATTACAACACATCAGAATAAAGAGATAAATTTAGAGATAATAGTCACCAAAATACTCAAACAAAAGTAAATACTAAACCTAAAAATACGAAGAAAATTAAAACCTTCCATTGAGAATGACGACCAATATCAAAACCCAATAACCTTTATACAAACTCCTTGTCTATGTCGAATGCTTGGCGAAGTGATAAATGAGTGAAGAGCGAACCAAATAATCTAGCAGACTGCTTCGCTACATAACTCTGATTACATCGGCAAACAACCTTTTACCAAAAGAGGGGATCTGACTATACGTGACAATCGACTAACCAATCAGAAAATAAATGTTGTAATGATTTTTGTGCAAGAACCAAAACAACCACAAAGGTACGTGAAAAAATCGTCCAAAAAAATATAAGGATCGTGTCACAAGAGCAGAGGAAGCGCGTGCCATAAGAGCAGAGAAAATTCTTGTCACAAGGACAAATATGTTTATTCAAAATTAAAAAGATTCAAGAAAAAAAATAAATACATAATTTAAAAAATAAGATAATTAATATTCCCTAGTAGTCAACACCCAATATTAAGATCGATACCGCCATCGGCTAAACAAAGATTAAAGAGAAAGAATGAGGTGATATAAAAATGTTAAAAGAAAACTAGGTTAAGAGAAAAGGGAGGGGCTAGGGTTTCCTATAAGTTTATTTTTATAATATTATTAAATATCAAAAGTGATAATAAGATATAATTTCATAAACTATGATACTATAGAGCTGTTTCACCGTGAACTGAATTAAGGCAATTCCAAATGATCAATTATACGTTGAGAAAGATTTTAACTTCTCTTTTTCCTCGCTAAAGAGAGCAAATTGCTTCTTGCATTACGCTCTCAATTTCATGGTTTCCCTTAAAATCTCAACTATTCCCTTATTTTTCGCCGTGTCTTTGATTCTTTTTAAAAGGTTAAATTTTCCTTTCGGTTAAACAATTATTTCTTGGATTTTTCCACTGTGGGTTCTCTCTCTCTCTCTCTCTCTCTCAGTTTGCTTTGCAGGAAAACATGAAGGATTTATGTTTCTGTTTGATCCATTAACCCTCCAGACAAAAACTACAGGTCTTTTGTCCTTTATGTTCCTCGAAATCCAAAAAAATCCAGTCATTGTCCTTTCTCTGACTTGTTTTTCAGTTGAACGAGTCTTTGTCGACGTTCAAGACTTCAAATATCTTCCCTGCCTACCGCAATTGAATTCCCTTTCCCTCCTTTACACATCCTTGAATTCCCTTTCCCTCCTTTACACATCCTTGAATTCTTCCAAATCTCCAAAATCCTTTTTTTTAAAGTGAAAAACACAAAAATATGTGCTCGGAAACAAGTTCCCGGGTATCATTTTCGCATGATCTAGTCCAACCAACGACCGAACTAAATGAAACTCGAAGGGACAGAACGATGTTAGAGCCATGTCTGGATTTCGAGTTTGACATTTGCAGCTTCGAGCAACATTATTCATCGGCAGATGAATTGTTTGCAAATGGAATGATACTTCCGAAAGTAGTCAAAGAACGTGAAGTCGCAGCGGTAGTTTCTCTTCCTCCACGGCCTAAACCGTCGACGACGGTCGAGGATTCAAGGAAAGAAATGGAGGAAAAGTCACGGTGCAAATCATTTTGGGGTTTCAAGAGAAGCAGCAGCCTCAACTGTGACAAAAACAAGAGCTCGATCTGCTCTATACCGCTGATTTCCCGAAGCAATTCGACCGGTTCGGTCCCCAATCCGAAACGTTTGTTAATAAAAGACGGTAACAAGCGTAGGAATTCGATGGCTTATCAATTTCCTCAAAAGCCTTCTTCGAAGAAAAACAATGGGAATTATGCATACGGCAACGGTGGTCGAATCAGTCCAGCCTTGAACGTCCCACCGCCTTATATCTCGACAGGAACGGCGGTTCTCTTTGGTTTAGGTTCTTTGTTACGTAATGGGAAAGTTAAGAAGAGCAAGAAATGATATTTTCCCGTCATTTTTCCTATTATTAATGTACATGATGTAACTTCTCTCCATCATACAACAAAACCAGTTAAAAGATGCTAAAAGAATCATCTGTGAATTTTATTTCGAAAAGTGAAAGCTTTCACATCCAAAAATTACAAAAAGAAGATAGGAATTCTTCGAGTCCGTCTCGAGAGTGTGTTGTGACCGAAAATCATGTCTGGTTTTTATTCTGGTTGTTGTAGTTTATTGGTGCATGAAACCATTGCCTGCAACTGAATAAGCTGGCCTCTTAAACTGCATTCTTCGACCTAAAAATGCAGCAATCCCTGTGAGTATATGTTTGGACTCTTTGTTTTTCTTAAAGTATCTATGTCCGACACCAGAATCCGAGTAACATAGGGGAAGACAAGTTAATTAAACGAGAACCAGAGACATTTTGAAGGCAAACCTGGAATGTATTTGTCTTGTGTAATAAATCTCCACATTCTTCAATAACAGATCTTTCTCTTATTGCCACTCTAGCCAATTCTGAAACTAAACTTTCCATTTCGTCAGCCTGCATTATTATTAAAAAAATACCAAAATGCATCAATATTTGTCACTTTCTTTTTCCTTTTTAAGCTTCACTCAATAAAGAAAGAAAATGTTTGATCTTGTTGGTATGATGAAGATCAAGCTTACCTTTGGTATAAAGCTTTGAACATGGCAAACTATCATTTCCATCACTTTCCTTGCAGAAGTCATTGCCTCCCCTATCTCTCTTGCATCTGCCTGCAAATAAGCAAAAAACAAGAAATCTCTTCATCCGAATAAACGATGAATGAGAAATGAAAATGGATGTGGAAAATGTGTACCTTAACATTCTCACCAATCGGAAGTTGAACAGAAATGTTCGACAATGATTGAATAGTCTCGAACAAAGAATTCAAATAATCCCCATGGAAATCAGACCATTCTTCCAGATATGGCATCTGAAAAGAGGTCAAACAAGAACATGTAGACAACATAAGCCATACATTATTGCAGTGAGCTAGTGACTAAGAAAACATATATCCTAAAGGATATATGTCCGAAACATATTGAGCGTAAGTATGTGTTAACTCGATCGATCAGCTGAAATATCAATATGAATTATGTAGATATAACCCTCTAAGGATTGTCGGAATATGCATGTTAAAGGTTTAAGGTCTTACTTGAGCTTCAAGAATCTTTGATAAGGTATTCATTCTTTGCAGAAGTTGAAGCTCCATGCGTTTCCTTCTCACACAATCATACAACTCTGATATCTTCACCTCAAGAGAATAAAGCATTCTCTAATAACATAAAAGGCACAAATTAAAGATTATTAGTTGAATCAGATGCATATGTTGATGACAATCCATTGAAATAATGATAATATTAAAGCATAGGGCTAACCTCAGTCTCTCTTTTCTGAATTTGAGTGGAGGCTTCTGCCTTGGCATTGGCATATCTCCATTGAAAGTAACAACTGTAAAGCAGTTTCAGGGAATGTAAATCTTCTTGATGACGAGAAACTTTCTTCGACGCCCTTATTGCATCGGTCCCGGGCTTTGAATGGGAAGGAACATGAGGTAGTGAAAATGGGGTCATCTTAGCAGATTTTCCCTTCATTAGTCCATTATGATGATGAAACAGAGAGGGATCTGAAGTCGATAATGGTGAATTCAGAGAGCGGAAGAAAGGAAAAGGAGGGAGTTTCGACGAGTCGCGGTCGGTATTCGCGTTTAGTTCGGCTAGCAATCGAGTAGACTCGGACTGAAACTTATCTGCATCTGGCATGGAAGAAGCGGAGGATTCCAGAGAGGAAAATGGAGGAGTAGATTTGGATGATAAGGAGATCCCACTCGACTGCAACAGCTTAGCGGCGGCTGAGACCTTGGCTGTCGATGAAATGTTTGCGGCACGTAGGTTTAATCTCATCGTCGTCGATGGTGGTAACGAAACAGTTCTTTCCATAGTGGGCGTATCGGGCCTCAAAGGAGTACTTGTGCTTCTCCCTAACAATTTGCTACCATCGATAAAGGTTCTAGAATGGCGATTTTTCTTTTGCATCGAAGAGTCAGAGGGTCGCGGAGTGTCGTAAGGCACGGGCAAGTTCTCGTCCGCCTCCGTATCCGGTTGCCGTCTCTGCCGTTGCGATGAGACCGAGTGGTGCTGTTTGTAAAGTATAGATTTCGAGGGGTCACCTGAAGAGTGGGAGGATGACACCGGAGACATGAACCTGGAGCTGACTTCTCTCACCCTAGGCCGCCGCGGTGGAGGGTGGGGAACCGCGGGAGTTGCCGCCGCCGCCGCCTCGTGACTTGTATTAGCAACTACTTCGTTCGCTTCCACCGTCATTACAAGAATAATACGTTAAAATTCGATCAATATTTGCAGTGATAAAGCTATCGAGATATGATCAGATCCCTAAATTAAAACAACAATTTGACTGAAAATGGAGAAGTGTTTGGTGAAGAAGAGAAATAGCCGTTGGGAGCAACGTTCGAGTTTTTAAAAAATCAATCGCGTCATCCGACGGGCACGTGATTTGTAGCACCCTTCACGGGTCTCTGGTGAGTGATGGCCCAGCCCACCCAACTACATAAACATACGACCCATTAGCATTTAACATTTTAACTAAAATAATTAAGTGATTTTGATAGATATAATTTTTCAATGATCAAAATAGAACTAATCATTTAATATAGTGGCTGTACAGATGGTTTACCCAGAAAGAAAAGAAAGGGAAAACGCCCTTCCCATCGTTCTCTTATTCAAATATTTGCGGAGAATTTCAATTCCCCAAACCGAAAAACCTCCCAAATTCCAATGCTATAACATTCCATCAAAATAATTCCAACACCCAAATTTCCCTTTCCCCTTCATTAATCGCAATGTCCGGTCCATCACTCATGGATTCCCTGTTTCAACGCAGTTTAGAGGACCTAATCAAAGGCTTAAGACAACAGCTGATCGGCGAACAAGCGTTCATCTCCAAAGCTCTCGAAGAAATCCGCAAGGAAATCAAATCCACTGACCTCTCCACCAAATCCACAGCTCTCTTCAAACTCTCCTATCTCTCCAATCTCCACTTCCACGACATGTCGTTCGCAGCTTTCCATGCCTTGGAAGTCCTATCCTCCCCTCGTTTCTCCCACAAAAAGATTGCTTACCAAGCAATCTCACTTTCCTTCCATGACTCTACCCCCGTCCTCCTCATAACTAATCATCTGCGCAAGGATCTTAACAGTACCAATGAGTTTGAAGTAAGTCTATCTCTTCAGTGTTTGTCTAGAATTGCTAATGTTGATCTCGCTAGAGATTTGACCCCGGAGGTTCTCACTTTACTGTCTAGTAATAAGCTTTATGTTCGGAAAAGGGCTGTAGCTTTAGTTTTAAGGGTTTCTGAGAAATACCCAGATTTTGTTCGGGTGTGTTTTAAGCGTTTAGTTGAGAATTTAGAGAATTCCGATCCTCAGATTTTGTTCTGCGGTTGTTGGGGTGTTTTCTGAGCTTGCTTGTAAAGATCCCAGATCGTATCTTCCTCTGGCACCTGAGTTTTATAAGATTCTGGTTGATTCCAAAAACAATTGGATTTCGATTAAGGTATTGAAGATTTTCTCTAAGTTGGCTCCTCTAGAACCGAGGTTAGCAAAACAGGTTGTTGAGCCGATTTGTGATCTTTTGAGGAATACTGGGGCGAAGTCATTATTGTTTGAGTGCATTAGGACTGTGGTTACTGGTTTGAGTGACTATGAATCTGCTGTGAGGCTTGCGGTTGGAAAGGTTCTGGAGTTTTTGGTGGATGAGGATCCGAATCTTAAGTACTTGGATTGCAGGCACTCAGGATTGTAGCTGAAAAGCACTTGTGGGCAGTGTCTGAGAATAAGGAAGTTGTAATCAAGTCATTGAGTGATGCTGATCCTGATATAAGGATTGATTTATTGCGTCTTGTGATGGCAATGGTATCTGAACATAATGTGTATGAAATTTCCAGGGTTTTGATCAATTTTGCAATGAAATCTGATCCCTTGTTTTGTAATGAGATTCTCGGTTCTATTCTATCAACTTGTTCTAGGAATTTGTATGAGATTGTTGTTGACTTCGATTGGTATGTATCACTTCTCGGTGAGATGTCAAGAATCCCACATTGCCAGATGGGAGAAGAAATTGAAAACCAGCTAATTGATATTGGTATGAGGGTCAAGGATGTTAGGTCAGAACTTGTTCATGTTGCTCGTGATTTGCTGATTGGTCCTGACTCCTGCCTTACTTGGAAATTCATTTTTGCATAGTGTATTATCTGCTGCTGCTTGGGCATCTAGAGAATATGTTGAGCTTTCAAGGAACCCATTAGAACTTATGGAAGCACTATTACAGCCTCGCACTAGTTTATTGCCACCATCAATAAGGACAATTTACATTCAATCTGCCTTTAAAGTGTTAATTTTTTCCTGCATACTTGCTTTGTGCGGGGGGGAAGTATTTTTCCCTCTTCATCACTGGATAACTTCCCCGTTGGAGTGTCAGCATCTGTGTCTTGTGAATCATTTGATGAATTTTCTATTGAAAATGATGCAGATGCAACTGTTGTACACGACCAGACATGTGCTTCTGCTTTTATCACCAAGGAGTCCATTATAAATCTATTGAATCTGGTTGAGTTGGCTTTGGGCCCTCTATTAGGAAGCCATAATGTCGAAGTACAGGAGAGATCACATAATTTGTTTGGTTTTGTTGATTTGACAAAACCAGAAATATTGAATTCCTCTGTTCAAGAGAAAGAGGATTCTGAGGGGAAAGGAGTGGAAACTTCCAAAATAATCAAACTGATGCGTGATGCCTTTTCCAAGGAACTAGGACCTGTCTCTTTAAGTGCCCAGGGAAAATTTTCTCTACCATATGGGTTAGTGCTTAAGGAGAACCTTGGTGGCTTGGAAATAATATGTGGTGATATCAAACCACCTTCATCAAACTCATTTTCTTTTGCAAGTCCTTATAAGGAGGAGAATGATAGGTTGTCTTTCTCTAACCTGCATATTAAGGAAGACTCTGAACAATCAAATGAGTCCACTTCTCTGTTAGCTGAGCATCGTAAGCGACATGAGTTGTACTATCTTCATTCGGTGAAGAGTGAACTAATTTCAAATGATTATCCTCCTGCTAATGACCCCACGTTACAAGGTGATATCAATGATAACACTGATGATCTTGTTAAAATCACCGCGGAATCCCTTGTTCCAAAGAGAAAACCGAATCATGGCAAGCCCTGGCCTGTGGTGGTGAAATTGGATAAAGTGGATGAGAAACTTGTTGCAATGAACAAGCCTGAGTCTAGAGATGATTCACTCTCAGGTTCTGTTCGTGATGTGCTTTTTGGTAGAGAAGATATTCCACCCATTTCCTCTTGAGGCAACCTTTCTAATAATCCATCTAACAAGAGAAAGGGAAAGGAAAAAACAACATACAAATCCACAAGCGGAATCAAAAGAAAATGTAATTGATGATGGAAATTCTAGTTCAAGGAGGACCAAAGATCGTGGTCATGGTAAGGAGAGAAGACATAGAAGTCCAAGGAAGAAAAATGCCGAGGAAAGGAAAAAGACCGATAAGAAAGAAAAGGAGAAGTCATTGTCACCATGGTAGGTGTAAATCACGGCAAGGAGCTATTGAAGCATGTTTTATAATATTTTAATATAACAAATTAAGACAATGTTTTTGGACTTGATTGAATTTTTCAAAGTTTTCAAAAATAATTCAAAGTCCATTAAACTTGAATTTGAGCACAAAACAGTTTTTCTAGGTATGTAGTACTGATACTGTTCTTACAGTATCGATACTACATGAACAATACCAATACTGTTCATGTGGTACCGATACTAAAGGTAAGAAAAGGATCGATAATCTCTAGCTAGTATCGATACTACCAGTTGTTTTCCAAATTACTCTAATTCTAAAATGCAAAATAGGCATCGATACTCAAGGGGTCCCTTTCTCTTACAGTGGTATCGATACCATGAAGAATAATATCGATAATGGTCAAACCCAATGGTCTTTAACGACTAGTTTATTTAAATTTTACAAAAGTAGTACCGATACTCATTAAATGAGTACTGATATTTCCTGTTCTGAGCGGTTTTAATTTGCAGAAAATTAATCTCCAACGGTTCCAAAACATCCCCAACGGCTAGAAACGACCACAAACTCATTCCAACATATAAAAACTAGTTGAATAAACTTGAAGAAGGTTGAATAACACCATCCGATCAATCAAACATAATAGAAGAGTTTTTCATTCTTATTTTCATTTATCTTGTAAATATTAGTGTTTTGTTAGCTCATTGCAAATCTTTTAATTGTTTTCTTGTGAGTTTAATTTTTGTAAACACCTACCATTGAGATGTTTTCTTGTTTATATATTTTCAACCTTTGTAAAAGGAATTGGTTCTAGCTTAGCCTTTGAAAAGCTAGGGAGTTGTAAATGTTATCTCTATGTCATGGAAAAAGAAAGAATAAATTAGTGGATTTGTTAGAAAATCCTAGGTGAGGAGCTTAGGTAGTGGATGGAGACTTGGTTGAGAAGTCAAACTATTATAAATCATTGTGCAAATTGTTTCATCTTTTAAATCCTTACTCCCTAAACTCAAAAAACCAATTCACCCCTCTTCACAATTATTCAGTTGATCAATTTGAGCTTTATCGAATCTTAACATGAGTCGAGGAGCCTTCGAAAGTTCCTGCACAAACGTCAGTGATTCCTGATTTTCTTTTATAGCTCGAGACAAATTGGGTGATAAAATTAGCCCCTGTATTCTTCTGCATTCTTGTGAGCTTAAGGTTAGTTCCGTTGTAAATTTATATTTCCCCTTATTCATTGGGGTGTGTGGTTTATTGAAATTTGAACACTGTGATTTGTATTTGGATGTTACACATTTTGAAATTTAATTTTGAAACATTCTCGTCCTTGTGCCTTAAATTGAAAAGTTGCTAAAGTTCAAGGGTTAAAAATTATTTTATCTCTTTTTTCTAATGGGTAAAGCATATTGGAGATCATTAAACAATAAATCAAATGAACATTTTGATCAAGTTAAAAAAGAAAGAAAAGGAAGAAACCCTAAAATGGTGAAACCTAGTTCGCATTCGTATCCCACTGTTAATCTCAGCCATCAGAGGGTTTTCTGTCGGAATTATTACCGGTAGAAAGGAGAGATGCAGGTGGTTTTGCAGGATTGGAGTTAGAAAGACTAAGACCCCCCTCGTTGGAGAAGGAACATCGGGTTACGAAAAATGTGAAAAATAAAGGGGATAAAGAGGAAGGTATGGCGTCTGGCTTAGTCGATATGGATACTCAGATGGTTTCCGATGGCAATGTTAATGTTGAGATGATGGTGGAGGGGGATGGTTCGGATGTACAAACTAGCCTTGACATGGAAAAGCAATAATATGCGAGCGCTGTCATAGGTGCAGAATATCGAAAACTTGAGGTGGTGTCACCACATGCCATGGACGATGTGGTGGTTTAGGTGGATGAGTGTGTGATCGACACTAGTGGACCTTATCTTTCGATACAATTTGCTAAGAAAGTCCATGAAAGAATTGATCAAATCATGGGACGTTCGATTATCGTTCGATTGCTTAGGCGTTCGATTATCGATCGAATCGTTCGATTACTTGGGCGTTCGATCGATTATAAGACTTTGGTCAATAAAGTTACTGCGTTATGGCAAGCTCAGGGACGTTTCCAGGTTGTGTATCTAGACAATGAATATTACTTGATTAAATTTGAGAATGAAGATGACTATGAGCATGACCTATCACCAACGGACCATGAACCATATATGGTAGTTATTTGACGGTTTAACCTTGGAGCCGAACCTTTTCTACGATGGAGGATCACCCATCTAACGTCATTGTTTGGGTTCGTCTACTAGGTCTTCCTTATCGATATTATTTTAAGGCATTGTTCTGACATATTGCGGATGCCATTGGAAAAGTGATTAAAATCGATTATAGTACGCATTCAGGAGAACGAAGGCGTTTTAAAAGGTTGGCGGTAATGGTGAACTTAAACAAACTTCTTATTTCGTGTCTTAAGATCAATGGATTCTGACAGAAACTAGAGTATGAGAGGCTCCAACAAATATGCTTCAAGTGTGGGATGTATGGTCATTCGAAAGATAATTGTGGAAATTCGGTATTTAGTGTGGAGAACCAAGTTGAAAAACAACCAACCGAGGACAATATCACGCATGTGGTTGAGGAAGCAACTTATGTCTTTGGTCCGTGGATGGTTGCAGAAAGAAGACATCGCCGATCAAGGAATAGTGGGAGCTCAAATGAGCAAACCAATAATGATGTATCAAAGGGATCTCGATTCACTCTTCTAAGTGAATTAAATGATAGAAGTGTGGCCCTTGGACAAGGAGTGGTGAACAATAGTGTTGTAGGAAAGTCAGTTGACCAGAGACTGGCCGTGAGTTCTAGCTCAGTAAAATCAATTGATCCCAAGAAGAAAAGATGTTATGACCCTGTGAAAAAAGAAGAACAATCGAAGGAAATAGAGGAAGGGAGATTAAGGAGAGGAGAAAGGGATTTCAAGAAGATTGAGTTTTCATTCATTCCAATCATACCGTAAGCCTTACCTAGTACATTGCTTATATATTTACATTGTAACAACCCATTTACCAGCTGGTAATACAGCTGTCCTAACAGTTAGATTCCCTTGCAGGTGCTGTTGGCATGACTTTCTTCACTGCTGGCAACACCCCTCTCCTTAATTAAAATCCCTAATCCTATTTCAAATTTCCCTAATTCTCCTCCGTCTTCTCCGATTAATGAATCTCTTATGATCATGACAATACCCCTTCCATGAAAGGATCCTTGTCCCCAAGGATCAAATCCTAATAATTGTGCCTTAAGCTCAATATAGTTTACCCCATGTTGTAAAACAATGCAGGTACCATAAACCCTTGCTGCTAGCCTTAATCCTTTTCGAAGAGCAAGTGAGGTTTGATGGTAAGATCGAAACTTCAAGTAAATTTTGTCCTCTGCCTTTATATCCCTGTCTGTCAATTTTATTTTAGCAAAAAATTTCAGCCTTGCTTGAGTCTTCTGAAAAATTTTCAGATTCAAAATTTTTTGTTTAAGTAACTGATTCTTGCTGCTTTCTTTGTTGACTTCCCATATAGTTATGACATTCCCCTTCTCTTGAAATGATCCTAGAAACACAGATTGAACAATGTTGCCATTTGAAGTGGTTAACCTTCCAGTCAAGACATCCTCATTATAGGACAGTGCAAACTTTAAACTAGAGAGAGATAATGAGTCGCCAACAAGAATATCATTGCTGGAGACCTGCTCTGCCAATGTGCCAATGGTGGTGTACAAGGATAAATAGACCTGCAGAAGAGCTGGTCTATCCTTGCTTATACACTCAAATAATACTTGTAAGCAAAACTCATGGAAGTCAACATCAGATTTGCTATTCCAGGAAAGGTCACAGAAGAGTTGTGCAAAAACAATTAAACTTGGATCAGAAGAGAAAGTGCTGACAAGTTGATCAACAGTAACAGCAGTAGGTCCATCATTGCCTGCTCTTAGACTTGTCGAATCAAAGACCTTGTGCATTGCTCGTGAAAGCAGTGACTGACACCCTAGGGTCATTCCTGTCACCCAAACTCCACCAAGGCTAATTTTCAGGAACAAGCTCAATCACTTGAGGCCATTATCGAGGGCCACAAACACGAATTGTCTTCAAAATAGAACACTCGGGCAGAATGCAAGGAGTAATCTCACAAAAACTTGTTTCAGAATAATGCTCAATTTCCCTGATTGTGACTTCAAGAGGAGCATAAACGGGGAGGCCAGTGTCGACTTCAATAGTTTGAAGCCAACGAGCATCCGTTGCAAGGACATACAAATGTCGGAATGCCTGAAGGTGGCAACGGTTGTCATTGGGTCCTGTAGGCAACTGTGGATAGAGAGTGATAAGTAATGCTGCAATGGAACTGTTGCTGGTAGAAAATATCCTCGTTCCTCCACCAAGAAACAAGAAACCAATTGCTAAGCTCACCACCATCTGGATACCATAGTTGGCATGACCGTCTACAGAGCTTCGGTTGCGGAGAAGCCTTAGAAGCTGGAATGTCCGTAAATGTCCAGAACCAGCTATAACCACAGACAAGGATAGAACAATAAGATAAAGACACATCTCCAATGTGCCTCGGTCAACATACTGATATAAACCCTTGGGAAAGGTATTCCTATTTGTAGTGGAAACAAGCTTGATATCATTCAGGAAGTAGACAACATATTCATAAAGCAACTCCTGTGCATTTCCATCCTTTGTGCCAGCATATCTCAACCCAAGAGAAATACATGCCCCGACTACTATATTGACATATGCCTGTAAAGTAGTTTATGCATCCATTTCATCAATATCCATAGTATCATCTCCAAGGCTATTGATACCATTTTCTACAATTTCAGGAATCTGGGACTGAATCCAGTCTTTAGAGGGATGAATCCTGCCCCACATGATCAAATTCCGAGAAATGACACGAAGCATTATAAAATCAGGTCTTACGTATTGCAAATCGAAATGTGTTTGGGGGATTGTGAGCCTAGAGACAATCACCTCTGATTCACTCTTCAAAAACATTAGAGCAAGAGCTATCATAACCCCAGGTGCAGTGACATCAACATTGACAGAGGTCCCATCCATCATCTGCCCAGTGCCCCGGTTATGTTTATCCATTGATGTAGAAAGCAGGGGGAACCTTTCATTTCGATTTTCCTTTCCACCAATATAATGAAATAGCCGATCAACCAGTGTATCCATGAATCCCAATGTGTTTTCTCCTCGGCCTAATGCAACAAGACCCAATGAAAAGCCTGCAGAAACAGCATAACCCTCCCTTTCAAGGACATTGTCGCCTCCACTTCTTCGGCCTATTTCACTCAGTAATCTTTGCATTGTTTGAGGGTGTGCTGATCCTTCAAAAAGAAGCCCGAGTAACATTAGTGCTGCAGTCTGCAGCAGTGTTGGTAACTCCAACTCTGGATAGGAAGATGGATGGTGAGCAGGTATATGCACATAAAGACACTTTGCTATTGAAGGTTGCATAGTCCCTCTATAAGAAGTTGCCAGACCCAGCATTAAACATGCAGTTGTGCTTTCATGTTCCTGTGAAAAGTATTGGTATATGTCCATAATCCGTAAAACACGCATAAATCCGTGTAATCCAAGAGCAAGGAGAAGTCCAGCATGAACTGCATTAGGTTCCTCGGGCTTGTTATATATTATCCATGTTCTAGACACTTTTCCTTGAAGTGAGGCCAGTCTTAAACCGGCAGCAACAACATTGTGGAACTCAGGCCATGACTTCAGCTCTTGTATGTTCCTCATGCTTGGATCAAGATTAACAGTAGTATTTTGTTGGGCAGGCAACCGCCCTGCTAAAACAATCTTTGGGACGGTAAAAGCTTTTGTTAATAGAGTATATATAGTTGCTTTAGCCGTAGGAACCTCAATCTGCTTTCTAAAGCACGATATAGAACCACCAGAAGGATCATGTTGAACTTCTACTCCGTCAACTTGTCTTATTGGAGGAAAAAGCAATGCAGACTATGAAAGTACGCGAAAAACTAAAGCTGCAGCAGTAACAACAACAATACCCGCTCTTATAGACATTGCAGTCCCAATTGCCCGCAAAAAATGCAAAAGCATCCAATTTCGAGGAAGCCTTATACCAGTTGTATAATCTTCAGCAGCCTGTAGGAGTTCCAGAAACTGTACGGTAGCATCAATTGCATCTGTAGCCCACCATGGTGGTGCTTCTAAAAGTCCAAGAAGAAGTCTTTGTGTGGCACGTGGAATTGCAATATAATAATACCGATGAAACAAACGTGCATATGGTTCAAGAGCTGGTAACCCAGCAACTGGATGCTCATCCAAGGCTGTTGTTGGAGGAGGAACTAGAAGTGCAGGGACTACAGCAGCCGTTAAACTAGTAGTCTCATAGTGTGCAACTTCTTCATCACATACACTTAAAATGACACCGGCACCATTTACAACAGCCCATCTTGGAGTTGATGGTATGAGCTGAGAATGTTTTCCAGATCCACGAGAAGAAGCAGTAATTTGAATCTTTGATGTTGGCAATTTATCGAACACCTGAGAATTATCATGTTTTTGCTCACACTCTTTACCGGTCAACAACTGTAAAATGTACTCCAAACGATCCTTATTCATTGCAATCTTTGTCTCCAAGTACTGATCTTGCTTCACTAACTTTGATAAGTCTTCAATCTGCTGTTGAATCGCAGAAAAAACAGAGTATGCAGCCATTGCTTTGCCAGGAGTTGTGGCTCTGTATACCAATTGTTATGATCCTGCGAAAGAAGAAGAACAATCGAAGGAAATAGAGGAAGGGAGATTAAGGAGATGAGAAAGGGATTTCAAGAAGACTGAGTTTTCATTCATTCCAATCATACCGTAAGCCTTACCTAGTACATTGCTTATATATTTACATTGTAACAACCCATTTACCAGCTGGCAATACAGCTGTCCTAACAGTTAGATTCCCTTGCAGGTGCTGTTGGCGTGACTTCCTTCACTGCTGGCAACACCCCTCCTCTTAATTGAAATCCCTAATCCTATTTCCAATTTCCCTAATTCTCCTCCGTCTTCTCCGATTAATGAATCTCTTATGATCATGAAAAACGAGTGGTTTCAAAAGGAAATGCTACTAATGGAAGGAAGTTGGTGCTCCAACAGATAAATGTGGTGAGTATTTTGGAGAAGCAGGAGCCAGCAGTGGTGTCGCAACGTAAAGTTAATGCAAAGGGGAATCATTCAGTTGTGATAATATCAGAGGATAACAAAAGGAATAATTCAGGTGTAGATGTATCAGGAAAATGGAAGCAAAAGAGCATGTTTGATACTTCGAAGGCCCTTAAAATTAGAAGAAGCAAAGTGATCCGATTGCCAAAAAGCACAGCTCTCTCGGATTGGATCCAGGTGGCCCAGGATAAGGCAGGTCTTGGAAGCCAACCAGTGATTTCGTTACCAGGGGTTCCTCCGAATGTATTGGGCGAAACATCGAATAGTGTGAAGGACAGTAGCAAAGGGCTTCCGAACGCACCTCGTGCAATAGACGGTGATTGGTACCGAGAATGCTGATTCGAATTTGCCCCAGTAAGGCTCTTCCTTTTTTTTTGTTCTTATGGTTAATCTTCTCTTTTGTAATTATCAGGGGGCAGGTAGCCCTAGCTTTAAACGGTATTTCAAGGAGCATTGTCAGCATGTTCGACCTAAAATTACCGCGTTATCTGAAACTCGAATAAGCAACCACATTGCGGATAAAGTGGTGAGTAGACTGGGGTTCTCAAATTATACTCGAGCCAAGGGTTTTAGTGGTGGTATTGAGCTCTTATGGAATGACCAGGTGAATTTAGTTAGTATCTCTAACCATTTTATTCATTGCCGGTACAATTTAGAGGATGATAGTAGGTGGTATTTCCTTACAGCGGTGTATGCGAGTCCCGAAGTCATTATGAGAAAGCACCTTTGGGGGCGTCTCTCTGAGCTTAATCCTAAGTCCGATTCTCCTTTGATCCTTGGCGGGGATTTCAATTCTATTGTGAGATCAGAAGAACGAAAAGGCGGTATGGGTCTTGGCTCCGGCATCGATAAGCTTTTTTGTGAGTTCATTTTCGATATGGGCCTTTTAGAAGCTGATTATAGGGGTCTGGATTTCACTTGGAGACTTGGTAGTCTCTATAAACAGCTTGATAGATGTCTCATGAACACGTGTTGGGCTAATATATTTTCAGCTTCTTTTGTGCTTCATTTGGACAAAATTGGATTTGATCATTGCCCGTTAGCTTTTTAGGAGAGTAATAACATTGTAATGGTAGGGACAAACCGTTCCATTTTATTGCCTCCTAGTAGGATCACCCACAGTTCAAAAAGTTCTTGACGCAGGAGTGGAATTCTGATATGGGGTTCTAGCGAATATTTATTCCTTCTGAAGTAAGATTCAAGAGTGGAATTCAAATATGTTCGGACATATTGAGAAGAGGAAGAATAAGTTGTTGACGAGAATTAAGGGTATTGATCGAGCGCTCATTTTTTCCTACTCCGATAGTTTGGTGGATCTTCAGGAAAGGTTAAAGGAGGAGCTAGACATTACTCTTCAGCAAGAAGAGAGTCTCTGGTTTCGAAAAGCTAGAACAAAATGGGTGTTGTATGGGGATAAAAATAACAAATATTTCCATACTAGCAATAATGCAAAGACGGAGAATGAATCGGGTGACTGCGGATAAGTCTTTGAATGGTGAGTAGGTTTCGAATCAAGAGACCCTCAAGTTAATGGCTGTCGAGTTCTTTCAAAGGTTGTTTACGAGTGAAGATGATCATGGTCCTATGTTTTCGATCCAAGGGCACTTCTCGAACGTTTCGGTGGAGGAGGTTAATGGTCTCTCTCGATTGGTGACAGATGAAGAGATCAAGGATGTTCTTTTTAGCATGAATCTGTTGAAGGCACCTGGGGTAGATGGATTCCATTATTTCGTCTATCAACGGAATCGGGAAGTGGTTGGGCTTAGTGTATGTCGACTGGTGAAGAACATTTTTGCGAGGAGTGATTTTGATGAAGCTCTAAATCAAACTCTGTTGGTGTTGATCCCCAAGGTTAAAGCCCCTGAATCCCTTAGTTCCGACCTATCAGCCTTTGTTCGATGCTCCATAAGCTTATCTACTCTACTTCCATATCCATTAGGGTTCACTTGGTTAATGAATTTCTCGTTTTAGAAATGTTACATTGGCTGAACCAGATTTTAATTTTTAAAAAAAATAATTTTTCGACTTTTAAAAAATTTAACTCAAGGGTAAAGTAAAAAAATGTCCCCTGATTATAGGGTGATATTTTGTTGAGTCCCATAACTATTAAAAATTATAAAATAGTCTCTTGACTATATAATATTATTTTGTTAAGTCCCATACATATTAAAAGTTACAAAGTGATCACTTAAAAAATCGATGATCTTCTGAGCTTTATGTTAACCAATTGATTGCGATATGATAAAATCTGATATCAGAATTGATTGATTTGTATTTTGTGGATCGAGGCTTCATTTACGTTATGTCGCCGAACTAGTGCTTCAAACATTACAATGCCAATAGAGATCATTAAAATATGATTTTATCATATCTTAGTCAATATGTTAATGTCCAACTCATATGAATAATCGGGTTATCATTTTGTAACTTTTAAGAGTCATGTGACTCAACAAAGTAATATCTTATAATCAAGTGACCATTTAATAAATTTTTATAGTCGAAAGACTCAACAAAAAATATCCTATAATAAGGGTACCATTTGTATACTTTAACCTTAATTTAATTATTTCTAAATCAATGATTCAATCGATCGAACCTATATCATCAATAAAATTTAAAAAAAAAAGTATAATAATCCAACACTGATTTTGATTAAATAAGATTAGTTCTGAAACAACTAGTGGAATATCATAGATAAAGATCACACAAAACCAGTAAACAAACTGGTGAAATATGACAATGACCCCTCCCCAACATACTGTTACCATAACACAAGAGGCTATAAACTCGGTGCTTTTACTACAAACATCAAAACAAAGACCATCCCACACCACAACTATAATTAAAATCCCTTTCCCCCTCTCACATTCATGCTGTGAGACATAGTAATAAATTGTGTCCTTAACATAATCATAATTACTTTTTAAGGTCATTGCGACACCGTAATCTCGAGTGGAAAAGGGAAAGGTTTTCAGCACTTGGGGAATGGAGTGCCACAGGTGGTGGCGACCTTCCTGGCATTTGGGGTGTTAACAAATTTCTTGAGATTTGGGTTCCTAAGGTATTGGCAAAGGCAAGGCTTCTGTTCCTTGATCTTGCTGCAGCACAGTTTGGACGGTGGAGACGATGATGTTATGGCACCCACGCAGGGGCTCAGCTCCGTTGGGCTGCATGTCTCCGCCGTCGTCACCTCCGCTTCAGCCAGCAGGAGTAGCACCACCAGCACCGCTGCCGACGCAGAAACTGCCTTGTATGATGCCTTCATTCTTCTCTTTTGGTTGGAGTTTTTAGTCTCTCTATGACCTCTGTGGGTGGTGGTGGGTGGTGGGTGTTGGGTGCAGAATCTGGTGGGTTTTGCTCCTGATTTATAGTGGCGGGGGTTAGGTAAAAATGGGAATTTTAGGTGAAATTAGTGGCAAATTTTCATGTGGGAATTTAGAAAGAGTGGGGGATTGTGAAATATAAATAATTTTTAGTTGGTCCTACTTGTATGATAAATTCGGTGGGATTTACCAAATGAAGAAATCCCCATATGAATATAAAACTAAGATGTGAGATCCAAGCATGCAAGTGAAAGCTACTTGATCTAATGATTTCAAGCCACTTTAGCAAATAAAAACAATTCGGAAAAGCATGTATAGTAATAAAGAATTTGATATTTTCTAAATAAAATTTTGAGTTTATATTTTATGCATGAGAAATATAATTAAAGAATTATTTTGGTTCAAAAATTTAGTTTAGTCCAATTCTAATTTTAATTTATGAATCTTCATAGAAATGCTTTCCACAATGCGGTGTGGACAGAATGAATTTCACTTGTACTTTAGCTAAAGCCTTCTCACAGTCTTCGTTCACACAGAGATTAGGGAACAATGGGCACCGAAAGATGAGGTTTTCATTTCGTTTACGATAAGTAAGCACGTGAATTCCTTTTCAATCAGATCGATTCAGTCCAATCATTTAAACAAATGAAAAGAAAATCAGTAATGCCTATTGGCCTTAATCATGATTAATACAGGCAGGAATTCTACTGCCACCCACTCTAATGTTATGATCAAGTCCTCATTGCAATTATTTACTACAATCATTACTTTTCTTTTTTTCCATTTTTTACTCTAAGTAGATAAGTTTTTAAACTATTCATTTTCATCCGTTTTATTATTTAATTTTTTATTTTTTTAAATCTATACTAATTGTTTAGTTTTTGTTTCATTTTAATACACTATTATTAAAAGCTTAACGGACGAGCTGACGTGACATAAATCCAATGGATGAACAACCAATTTGAATGGTGGACCACTATGGAATGATGAGTCGATCAACATGATCTAATTTTAGGCCCATCGGACGATGGACCATGGAGATCGAATGATGAATAAATCAAAGAGTTCATCATCGATTTGGGGGATTGGCGCATTTTCCGATGAAACAGAGACCAAAATCACATTTGGGAGTCGATAAGGTATGGGCTAAAAAGTTTGAGCTTCATCGGTCAACGGACGCAATGATCGTCACTGTAGACGCGGTGGCAAGTGAGTTTGTCCCTTAATTTTTTAACTGCGAGATACTAAAATGAAATAAAAACTAAGCGTTAGGTATGATTTAAAAAAGTGAAAGTTTAAGTAATAAAACGGATCAAAACTAATAATTTAGATACTAAATACATAGTTTACACACAAAAAAATTAATGCTCCATCAAATAATTTACCGCATGCATTTAGGTATTATATAGTTAATTAATATAAAATTAGAAAGAAGAGACACATAATTAAAAATAGAGGGGGAAAAATTATTTTTTCCCCTCTAGTTCCAAGACTTTGTCTTTACTAATTTGGATCGACCTGGGTCACACACCTAGATTTAGTGGGTGAGTCTCCTAGCAGGGATTTTCTGCATACATAAAGATTCGAACCTGAGACCTTACTTAAACCATATCAAATTGCTTACCACTTGAACTAATTCCGTAGGTAGAAAAAATAAAGTCTTACTTTCTATTAAATTATATGTTTTTAAAAATAAAGTCAATTTTAGAGTAAAAAATTATAAAACCGTTTTGGAGATAAATTAAAAGGGTAAACTACATAAATGACCACATAACTATGGGTTGGGTTGCAAAATGACCACCATTTTCAAATTTGCATCAATATGACCATTGAACTATTTAAATAGTTTCAATATAGCCACTTGTCGTTAACACTTAACGAAAGTGTCTACGTGATAGTTAAACAAATTGGTATAATAAGAGCATGAGTCCTTGTAAAAATACATATTCATGGCGTTGGAACCCTAGTTTGTTTTCTTCCATTTTGGTCACTACTTGTGTATGATTTGTTTCCTTGAATTTTCATTTAATGTATTTTGATCTTGATTATGTTTTTAATTTGTCTAATGAATTAATTTGAGTATTAACTTTAAAATATTTTATTCTAGTAATGTATTAAATTTATAGATTAAATCCCTTAGATTTTAGAATTAATCAATTTGACCACCAATATTAACTTTAATTCTTAATTTTTAATTAGATCATAATTTCAATTTAATTTAATAATTTTATTTCTCCAATCAAATTGTTACACATGTCATAATATAATTAGAGGTTTTTTTTATTTTAATTTAACTAATTTAATAAATGTTCAATCCAATCAAAAGGTGACATGTGTCACCTTTGGAATTGAAGTGAAAATAAATAAAGATGAGTTTTAACATCCAAGAAAATCCAATTGGGTCCCAAGGGTAACCTGTGCATGCCTTAACCACTTAGCTAATTCTCAAGCTTGTTATTGAGATAATACATATGTTAAATAACTTGTTCAAGTTTAGGTAAAAAAATTAAAATAACTTAATTGGATTTGAACCCAAAATTAATTAGTAATCAATCCTTAACCAATAAACTAAATCTAATATTTAGGTATCAATTATAATATTATATATTATAATTAATGATAAAAAATAAAAATGGATAGGTGAGAACTTACATATCTAGGCCAATTGAGAATATGACAACACTTAAATCACTAAAACAAAAAATCTAATAGTTTATTTATAATTGATTTAAGATTTTAATATTTTAAACTAAATTTCTTGTTTTCATATTTATTTTTTAATGATTATATATATGAAATTATTAAAAATAATTTAATATTCAAATTACAATATATATTATATTATAGTTAATGATAAAAAATATATATTATATATTATAGTTAATATTCAAATTATAATCATAAGATTGTGACATGTGTCACAATTTTATTGGAGAAATAAATTTATTAAATTAAATTGAAATTAGGACCTAATTAAAAATTAAGAATTAAAGTTAATTTTGGCTACCAAATTGATTAATTCTAAAATCTAAGGGATTTAATCTACAAATTTAATACATGACTAGAATAAAAGATTTTAAAGTTAATGCTCAATTAAGACATTAGATAAATTAAAAGCATAATTAGGATCAAATTACATTAAATGAAAATCCAAGGAAACAAATCATACACAAGTAGTGACCAGAATGGAACAAAACAAAGCAGGGTTCCAGCGCAGCGAATAAGTTACTATACAAGGACTCGTGCCCTAATTATACCAATTTTGTTAACTACCATATAGACACTTCTAGTAAGTGTTAACGGTAGGTGGCTATATTGAAATTATTTAAATAGTTCAGTTGTCATATTGATGCAAATTTAAAAATGATGGTCATTTCGTGACCTAACCCATAGTTATGTGGTCATTTATGTAGTTTACCCAAATTAAAAATGTAACATATTTATTATATAAGGAGTAATAGAATAATTTGAACTCGAAAAAGAGTTAGCCGCTTGAAATAATAGCATAGGCCTCTAATCTCACTTTTAGTCTTCACGCCTGCCTTGTTTCTTGTTCCCCCTCTCTCCGGTCTACGAAAGTAGAGATTTGCTATTTTTTTTATGGTGTGCAATTATTATCTCGCTTTTTGCAAACACTATCTTATTTATTTTATAGGGTAAATTACAATAAACGAATAACTTATGATATCTCATATCAATTTGCTCGAGCATGTCAATGTATTTCTAGTCTCTCTTAATCAAGTGTCATGTGATATAACTCCTATTATGTAGGAGGGACAAATCCTATCTAGATAATTCACATCCTATTACATATATCATGATATGTTCAACATCAGTCTTTATAGTGCGACCAGTTACGGAGCATGTTTGACTGTATCAAAACACAAGAAAATATTTGTTGAGATAATAATGATTTCAAGTTTGAGGATCATACATGTAGTAACCACCATGAGCAATATTGTGGCCGTCACATAATAATCCAATATATATACTCATAACGGGTCAATCTAATATGTCGTTATCTAACAACATACTCATATATCGATTTTGACATCTTTTTGTCAATGAAAACTCGTTGTCATGAATCAACTATATGTTAGCCTTGAACGTATTATTATTGTCCACGCCCATAATAATACTCAGCTAAGGATCTTTCAATAACAAACATATTATTATTTAGACTTCATCATGTTTCAGTTTATAAAAAACACAGGGATATAACTAAATAACAATAATGAAAATGCCTTTATTAAATAAATACAGTGAAAAAATATGTTTATACAATCATCTTATGATTGATCTTTGGGCATACTCCAACACCCAAGACCCCGTACCACTAACACATGACCACTATCCCCATTACCCCTTACCATAAACCCTGAACCACCAACCCCAAACAACTGACCAAAGACCATTAGCCTAGTCTCATAGACCCCTGACCTAGGACCATAGACCCTAGACCCATGACCACTGACATTGGATCATTGACCTCGAACCACTAACACTAACTATTAATCTTAAATCCTAAACCTCAAACAATTAACCCATATTCCTAAATCCTATACCCTAGATCACAGACCCAAGACCACTGATCTTAGATCTCGAACCATTAACTTTGAACCCTAAACCATTAACCCTAAACCATAAACACTGACCCTTGACCCTTGAACCCTGACCTCAAACCTTAGACTAAGGACCCCAGATCCCAAACTTAGACACCAAACCTCTGACCTGGACCCCAGACCCCTGGCCTCAAACACTAGACCCCTAACCATGGACCTTAAACCCTTAAAGTTAAACCTTAGACCAATAACCCTTAACCTTAAACCATTTAAACCAAACCCCATACCCCTTACTTAAACCCAAACCACTAATGGATTCTAAACCCTAAAGTACTAACCCCTAAACCCATACTACATACCACTAACCATTGACCCTTAACCCCAGATCCTGGACCCCAGACCATTAACCACGGACTTTAGACTTCATACCTGGTTCCTGGACCACATATATTGGGCCTCTGACCCTAAAA